GACATTTGCTATGCGGTAGGGATAGTCAGTAGGTACCAATCCAACCCAGGATATGATCACTGGACTGCTGTTAAGGGAATCCTCAAGTATCTAAGAAGAACGAGGGATTACAAGTTCGTGTATGGCACTAAGGATTTGATCCTTACAGGATACACTGACTCTGACTTCCAAACAGACAAGGATTCAAGGAAATCCAAGTCGGGGTCAATATTCACTCCTAACGGATGAGCGGTAGTTTGGTGAAGCATCAAACAAAGATGTATCGCAGACTCCGCCATGGAGGCTGAATATGTTGCAGCTTGTGAAGCAGCAAAAAAGGCGGTTTGGCTTAGAAAGTTCTTGACAGATTTGGAAGTCGTTCCAAACATGAACTTGCCTATCACACTTTATTGTGATAACAGTGGTGCGATGGCAAATTCTAAAGAACCTCGAAGCCATAAAAGAGGCAAACACATTGAAAGGAAGTACCACCTTATACGGGAGCTAGTGCAGCGAGAAGATGTGATTGTCACAAATATCGCTACAGAGCACAATATTGCTGATCCTTTTACGAAGGCACTCACGGATAAAGTGTTTGAGGGCCATCTAGAAAGTATAGGTTTATGAGCAATGTACAGTTAATCTAGGGCAAGTGGGAGAAATGTAATGGGTATATTGTATGCCATAGTTTATTGTATTTTCCCTTTGCTTTATGATAACGTACACCCCACTCGAGATTAGTTCAAGTGGAAGTTTGTTGGGTGTGTTGCCCTAAACTCGTAGTTTGTATTATGTAAAAACGAATGCATATTCAATAAAGTTTTATTCAATAAATTTGTTGTTGAAACATAGCATTGCATTGTCCAAATCCAATAAACTAAACATCCAAGGTTATTTGAATTTAATCGGGACAGTATATATACTGGGTATATATTTGATATAAGGAGTATATATTTGATATACCCCTGATATATGAATGGATAATATCCCGTGAATAACATAAAGGGTCTATAGTATATGGATAAGGCTGGGTACCTTATCCTGGCAACACTATGGATACGGCCCCCTCTGTAAAGGTTACAGACGACTCGATCCAGGTCGTTCGTGTAGAGACATGCGAGTGGGGGTATCCTCTACAATGAGTTTGATAAGACCGGACTGCGAAATAGACAATCTTTAGATGTAACACCGTTAACTAATAGAATGTTATTTCTTAGGATGACCAGGCAACTCATTCTCAATCCTGAGTGAGTTATGGACTCCTGCCCGTGAGGGCTCGTCCTTTGATCTGTATGCGTGAGAGTGGCCCAAGTCGCCGACTCAATATTCCTACCATTTTGGAGACGAGACCGAGTGGGGAGCTGGGAACATAACTCCACAAGATGAAATTCACTCCTCCCCGACTTTAGGGGAGTAGATGAGTGTTCCCTTAGATGCTGACTCCAGAACTTGAACAAGGGGCTCCACCCTCTCATTGACCGAGAGGGACTTCCAGTTATTGGTTGGACCATAACCGGGTTGTTCATTAGAGGAGCAGTGATGTTTAAGAAGTAAGATGTAACTCAAGGGTAAAACGGTAATTTGACCCAACTTGAGTTACGAGCACTCGTGAAGGATTGACTCTTCATTTATGGTCGTATATCCGTGGACACGAAAACGTTCTGCAGTGAGAAGAGTGCAACTGCGGGTCTTTAGTGGAATGACCCGTAGTTAACGAATCTTGATTAACTCGGTCAATGAGTTTGACCGATTAATCTCGCATCGTTGGAGCTTCTGATCTGTATGTCCATTAGATCCCCTTGCTAGCTCATAACGGGTAAAACGAG